CCAGCCACTCCTCGGAAGGAAGATGGGGCAATCTACTTCTGTAGTGATACTGCCTCAGAAACCCAAGGAGGGGTCGCTATGAGTCAGGTCTGACTCGACGGCATATAACAACAACAACAACACTGCTACTGGTCAAAATTTGTAGTCACATGATAAGTACTACTATGTATCCTAAGAAATTATAGGAGGAAAAGGTATACCCTAGGAAAGGTATACTTGATTAATTACTATTAGAGATTTGTTAAGGCAGCATTAGAGCTAGACTGCTGGACACAAGTGTACTATCTAGAAAAGGGCAACAAAAGTTTATGAAAAATATCTTGAAAATTTAGGCAAGGTCATTGCTGTATGAACTTTAGTGTAATTACTTTCCACTAGTAAAGACATTGTAAGACACTTGGCTGCTAACCAGAAGGTCAATGGTTCAAACCCACCATCCGCTCCATGGGAGGAAGATGAAGCAATTTACTTCCGTAAAGATTTACAGCCTTGGAAACCCAATAGGGGTCACTATGAGTCAGAATTGACTCGATGGCAGTGGGTTTGTTTTAGGAAAGATATTACTTAGTAAAACTAGAACACTTTTGAAAAGTACAAAGTATTTTATATATGTTAGTAAAATCTGACATTCTTAATAACTCATAATAAAGAACCAGTTGACGTTACCAATTTTTATATTTGCAGTAAAAATTACGTATCAGATTAGTGCTCATAAAATAATGAGATGATGGCTAAATACCTCTTTCATATACAAAAAAAAAACAAACTCACTGCCATCAAGTCAATTCAGACTCATAGTCGTTTCTGAGGGTAAATCTTTATGGAGATAGATTGCCCAATCTTCTTCCAAGGAGTGGCTGGTGGGTTTGAATGGTCAGCCTTCTGGTTAGCAGTCAAATGCCTTAGGCAATACACCACCAGAGGAGATTTTTCATGTACAGATAAATAACTTTTGTACAACCTGTTAAAAAATGCCTAAAGGTAAAGATTATTGCTAGAGACTTGTTTTATGGTAAACTACAGCAGTACACTTATGATAAAGAAATTTTATCCATATCAGGCTCACTGAACTACATATAAATTTTTTTCATTGTGGATAATAAAACATACATTGAACTAGTACACAACACAGATTTCTTTTTTTGAAAAGGAATAGAATCACAAGGATGAAAATACTTAAGATACAATCACAGTCACTGTGCAAAACAGTTTTTGGTTTCTCAAAAAGTTGAATACAGAATTACCTTATAAACCAGCAATTCTGCTCCTAGGTATATACCAAAACAATTAAAAGCAGAGATTCAAACAGATACTTCCACACAAATGTTCATACATAGCACCATTATTCACAATAGCCAAAAGGTGGAAACAACCCATCAACCATACATAAAATGGCATATTATTCCAGTTATAAAGAGACATGAAATTCTAATACATGCTACAACGTGGATAAACTTTCAAAACATGCAAGTGAAATAAGCCAGACACAAAAGGACAAATACTGTATGATTCTATTCCTCAAAGAGAGAGAAAGCCGATTACTAGAGGCAGAGAAGTGGGAAGTTTAATAGGTACAATAGCTTAATAGGTACAAGTTTCTGTTTGGCATGATAAAAATTTTGGAAATAGTAATGGTTGCACAACATTGCAAACAGAATTAATGTCATTAAATTATAGACTTAAAAATCATTAAAATAGAAAACTTTACGTTATATATATTCTACCCTGGTAAACTTAAAAAGAAAGATATAAGTAGATGCCCATTCCTACAAAATAAAATAGTTAGGATACCCTAACTCCCCACGAAAAAAAAATAACCACTGATGAGCTGGCAAGAAAAAAAAAACTAAGTGAAGGAAGGAACCCACACAGGAAAGCTGTACTCTGAAGCCAGCTTTCTCTTTGAAGGCATGTGTATAACCTGGTAATTTAGTTTATGCAGTAAGTTTAAAGACATGAACCATAAATGGAATTTTTAAAGCAATGGATGGATTTAAAAGCAGACGAGATACATTTGAAGAAATTCTGAAAATAAGTTATTTGAAAAGAAACTTAGATTAGTTGTAAATGCATATTATAAACTAGGGCAACCACTAAAGTAATTTTTTAAAGTATCATTGCTATGCTAAAAGAGAAGAGAAAATAGAATCATATGAAATGATCAATTAAGATCAGAGCAGGTGAGAAAAAGAAAGAACAAGTGCAAGAAATAGAAAATAGTTACAAACATGGTAGATTTTCATCCAACTCTATCAATTATCACTTTAAATGTGAATGGTCTAATATACCAGTTAAAAGACAATGGCAGAGTGGATTAAAAAATCAAGACCCAACTATATGCTGTATATCAGAAACCCATTTTAAATATAAAAATAGCTAGATTAAATGTAAGGGACTAGAGAAAGATTTATCTTGCTAACACTAATCAAAGCTGGAATAGCTATGTTAATTTCATACAAAGCAAACTTAAGAGCAAGAAAATCAGCAAGAATAAAGAGGGACATTACATAATGATAAAGGGGCCAGTTCTCCAAAAAGACATCGTAATCCTGAATACATATGTACCAAAAGTTGGGTCCGACTTGACGGCACATAACAACAGCACATATTATCATCAAGACTTATGAAGCAAAAACTGATAGAACTGCAAGGAGAAGGACAAAAACTTGCTACTGTAATTAGAGATTTCAACCCTTTCAGCCTCCCTCTATCAGTAACTACAGACCCAGCAGGTAAAGTACCAGTAAGGATATGATATTTTTACCTGAAGAACACCATCAAATCAACTGTATCTAATTCTATTTATAAAGTACTTCATCTCAAACTCATACAGAACAAGTACCAAGGTAAACCACATTCTGAGCCATAAAATACCCCTTCCTTAATTAACTTAAAAGAATTGAAATCAAACTAAGTTCTCAGACAACAATGGAATAATTAAACTAGAAACAATAACAGAAAGACAGCTGGGGAAAAAATCTTGAAATAATTGGAGATGAAACAACACATACTTGTAAATAACACATGGATCAAAAAAAAAAAGTCTAGAGAAAACTAAAAATAGTTTTGACAAAATGAAAATACAACTTACTACAACTTACCAAAAGTAATAGGATATAGGATACAACTTAACAAAAGTAATAGAGTATAGGATACGGAGAAAGCAGTGTTGAGAGGGAAAGTTATAGCATTAAATGCATATATTAGAAAAGAAGAAAAAGCTAATAAAATCTAAAATCTGAGCCTCCACCTTAATAAACTAGGAAAAAAACTTAAAGCAACCAAAAGAAATAAAATTACAGCAGAAATCAATGTAATTGAAAACAGGAAATCATTAGTGAAACCAGAAGCTGGTTTATCCTTAAAAAGATAATAAAATTGATAAACCTCTAGCCAGGCTATCAAGATTAAATTATTAATAATAGAATGAAATTTGGAAACCAGCTACTTGGCCAACTGACTAGAAGAGATCCATATTTGTGCCTATTCCAAAGAAAGGTGATGCAACAGAATGTGGTAATTCCTGAATAATATATTAATATCACACGCACGTAATTGATACTCATTTTATTAGGCCAGTATTAATCTAATACCAAAACCAGATAAAAAAATAAAGGAAATTTCCAGACCAATACCTCTTATAAACAGAAATGCAAAAATCCTCAACAAAGCAAATCCAATCTAAATATGTATAAAAATAATTACACACCATGACTAAAACCCAAAAGGGGTCGCAATCGATGGGAGGGCAGTGAGTTCAGTTCGGTTGTAAGTGGGATTTATTCTATACATGCAAAGCTAGCTCAGCATTCAAAAATCAATCAGTATAATTTATTACATCAACAGCCCAAAGAAAAATCATATGCTCCAATCAGTAGAAACAAAAAGGACATATGAAAAAAATCCAACACTGTTCATTGTAAAAACCTTCAGCAAACTAGAAATGAAGGAAGACTGCCTCGGTTTGAGAAAGCATCTACAGAAAAAAATCTACAGCCAGCATCATTCTTAACGGGAAGAAACTAGATGTTTTCTCCCCTAACATAGATGACAAAGCAAAGTTGTCCTCTCTCACCACCCCTATTCGGCATCATATTAGAAGTCCCAGCTAATGGAAAAAGACAAGAAAAGGAAATAAAATTTATACAAATTGGGATGGAAGAAATAAAACTGACATGTTTGCACATAACATGATGATCTGTGTAGAAAATCCCAAAGAACTGATTAAAGAACTCCTGGAACTAATAAGCAATTATTGCATAGTTGCAGGATGCAGGCTAATATACAAAAGTCATTTGGTTTCCTATATACCAGCAGTGAGCAGTTGGAATTTAAAATTTAAAAGCAGAGTACCATTTACATTAGCACCAAAGAAATGAAGTAACTAGTTGACATCAAGGCAGTTCTGTCTCGATGGCAACTCCATATGTGTCAGAGTAAAACTGTACTCCATACAGTTTTCATTGACCATATGTTTTTAGTAGACATAGATTGCTACACCTTCCTCTGAGGTAGACCTGAAACACCGTTTGGTTACCAGTGTAGCGCATTAATTGTTTCCACCACCCAGAAACTCAAAAAAAAAAAAAAAAAGGTATAA